GGGACCCTCAAGCTGTCCTACCCATGGCCCTGCTGCCCACTTGGCATGCCACCCTGAGCTTTGGGACCCCTCCTACGTACCCACCAGGCAGGGTGCTAAGTGGTGCTCAGACGCTCGAGGCCGTCCCAGGGGTGGCACTGAAGAATTCTGAATCAGGAGGTGAGGAAGTTCTGCCTTTCTCAAATCCCTTTCAATCTGTCCTTCTGCATACACCAGGAAGAAAGCCTCCACTGGGGGCTGGCGTGGCTTCAATGCCTCCCAATATTTGCTTTTCCTCATTTTAGCAAAGAGGCTCAGCGCCTCCTCAAGCATCCATGTCTGGGTCACTCATTCCCTTCTGCATTTATTCATGTACTCAGCCCCCATTCCAAAACTACAAGGCATTTCAAAGAGTTCATGGAAAGATTCATATAATCTTTCAATTGTATTTTTCCACCAACTTGTTGAAGTGCCCTTGTGTGTTTTGAGTAGCTATTATGTGCCAGGTACTGTTCTGGTGCTAGGGACACAGCAGTAAGTCCTGAACCGCTGCCCTCAGGGAGCTGACCTCATTGTTTAATAGTATTTATTTTTGTGATTTTGTTTTATTCATGGCAAGTGATACTAGTTATCCACCCTGAGTAATAATATCTTTTCCTTCTAAAATAAATTTTAGGTTTGTAAAAGTTGAGCTGACTTAAGGAAGACTATCACGTAGATAATGGTGCAGATGGGACCCACACATCTTGAAAGTGTGCTGGTGCTAGCATCAGGATGTGTTGCCCAGGAGAGGGTCCCTATGCCCCTTCCAACTCTCGTGTGGTTCTAGTTCTGCCTCCTGCCGTGGTCTCCCATAAAGAGAAGAGCATGAGGTGCTGAGCAGGGAGGAGGCCACAGCCCTGAGGAAGGGAAGCTGAGAGAGCAGGTCCACTGCCGAGGCCAGAGCCCACTCTGCTGGCCCAGGTCCCCTCCTGCTCCACAGGCACGTCAGTCAAAGGGACCAGGGTTTGGCTGTTCTGCCAGATGTGCCTGGGCTTGGGGCCAGGGAAGACCCCTCCCTGAGCTTCTCTCTGGGCACCTGCCCTCAGCACACCTGTGGCCCCCAACCCTTGGTGGTCCCAGCAGTGGTCCAGGCTGCACTCCCACCCTGTGAGTCAGAGACGCCTGCGGCCTAGGCCAAGGCAGGGCGAGGAGGGAAGAGCAGGCTGCTAAGGAAGGACGTGACAGTTGGCAAAGAGGTGAGGGATATTCAGAAATATAACAACCACACTGTGGTCACTGGCGAGTGGCTCTGTGACAAGTGAACTCCTTCCCCTGTGACCAGAACTGGGTGCACTGTGGGGGGTGGCAAAGAGACTTCAAGTCCCATAGGAGCCAGAGACTGCTCCTTCCCGCCTCACCACCACTGACATCTTTACCACCATCAAAGGCCAGCTGGGCCCTCTGCCACTCGCCTGAAGACCAGTACTACCAGCAACAGCAGCAGTGGAGGTTGAGGTGGCAGCTATGAGCACCAGTTAGCTGCGGGGGCTCTGGAGCCATGTTGCTTTGGCTCAGACAGCTGGGCTGCTTCCTCACTGTGTGACTTTGGACAGTGATTTAACCTCTCTGTGCCCTCATTAAACAACACCAGTTACTAGCACTGTGCTCGGTGCCTTACACGCATTACTGCAGCTAAGCTTTGTAGCTGG